CTCGCTCTCGGTTAACAGGAGCTATATATTCATCTTAAACCAGCAATATTTTTATAGGATTGACTATTATATAATCGTGTTACCGTATGTGGACGGCTGAAAACACGAACGATGACCATTTACTTGTGGACGGACAGAATTCGTTTACACTGAAAATTATGCGTTTACGAATGAAAACATATAAGTGTGGACGGGGTCTTAGTTCTTCCATTTTTATCAACACCTATTTACCTTCACGCCTACCAAGGGGATAGGGTAGGTGGTGAACACAGTGAAGTCGGGATCATCTTGAATTCAACGCATATCTAACAGCGTGAATGCCTGGGATATGGGGAATATATAGAGTACTTCAAATATAAGCACCAATTGAATGATTTCCATAAAAAGTCTGTAAGAGGTTGCCAATGGGGTTAGTAGTTAACTGAGACCTAAAATTAGTAATTAACATTAACTGCATTTTATTTCATGATTTTAGTTAATATTGTGGCCAGCGCTCGTAAAATTATTAACAGTTAACTGGCATTAGGCTGGAAAATTAATATTTAATCGACAATTGGGTACCCCCACTGGCACCCTCATGCAAGGTTTTTGATTTTTATATTTTTCATTTTTGACTCTCATGTAAGGTTTTTGATTTTCATATTTTTTATGGTGATACCAATTATTTTTGTTACGTTATTTTCTCTTTTCTAATATTTATATTCATGTATTATTTATTTATCTTTTTATAAGATTGCAAATAAAATTCTTGTTGTTGAAGTTGTCGTTGTGATGATGGTGGTTATTGTTGTTGTGGTGGTTGTTGTTGTTGTCGTTGTGGTGGTATTGTTTGTACATAATTACGTAATTCAGCCCATGGGCTGCGACATAATTTGTAATAAACATCTATCTAAATCTATCTAAATCTAAATGAATAAAGTAATACAAATAAGTCTTCATTCCTGAACAATAGTCCTTTTCAGACGACTGTTGTAGGGTAGCCTTCTGTCGTAGTATTTACGATCTTCTGAGATTAAGACTTGTTTTTCACCCAACAGAACATACTTCTCCTTGAGAACACTTGTCATTTCTGGGCCTATCTTCGTCCTCTCGGACGTCGTGAACCAGGCCCGGATCTCTTGTTCTCTTGGACGATAACTTCTTTACCTTTCTATCACTACGTCAATTCCCAAAATACTGCACTCATTTCATTCAGGGTTAGGGTTAAAAAGGGGTAATACTTTATGAAAATGAAAAAAAATGATCGGAATTCGGGTGTTGCACACCGATAGCACTGTTTCACACGAAACATTGCAGTCATTGGTCAATGTTTTACAGCATTCCCCTTTTTAACCCTAACCCTAACCCTAAGCCAACTTCGAAGGATCAAAGAGAAGGGCCGCTATGAACGCTTGGCTACCACAAGCCAGTTATTCCTGTTTGACTTTTCTGACACCTCTAGCTTAAAACTCCTAAAGACTAAAGGATCGAAAGTCCATGCTTTCACAGTTTGTTTTCATACCGAAAATCAAAATCTAGTATCTTTTTACCCTTTGGTAAAGCTTGCGTGTTCACATTAGAACTGGTCACCCTTTGGTAAACATAAATATTTATAAGACAACAAACCACACATCACCCTGTTTCAGGGCTTACCAATGGTACCGTTGGTGCAGTTGGTACCGTTGGTGGTACCGTTCGTGCTTTCATATTTCTGCTCAACATTCTCAACAAATTCATTAACCTCGATTTCAATGTTATATATGTAATTTTGTGGGTGTTAGGGACTGTCTGCGCTCGCCAAGAATCGAAGATAACTATGTACTCGAGAACGAGAAAATATACGATCGGCTCCCGTAGGAAAACATTATGTGTGATGCGCCGTTTTAGAATCACGAAGACACATATATTCATCGAACACAACTACTAATACACGAGAAAATATACGATCGGATCCTGTAGGAAAACATTATGTGTGATGCGCCGTTTTCAAATCACGAACACACATATATTCAACGAACAAAATCTTACAAATACAAAAATCTTCTTACTGCCAAACAACCCAGTGTTTACATTATGTGGTATCACTTTCTTGTAAACATATATTGTCTCAAACTTTCTTGTAAACATATCTCAAACTTTCTCGTAAACATATCTCAAACTTCAAAGCCTGCATTTTAAAACAAGTCAAATAGCCCCCATTCCAGCCTCATTAATTGACTGCTGGATAATATTTTGTATTTACATGGAAATTTTGTTTTCTTTTTATAGAATTTTCATGGAATCTGTTATTAACTTCATACACTCGACATCCAATGTCAATCCATAGATTCATTACCGTACTGTCATTCATATTTTTCCTTTTTTTTTTGTTTTTGTTTGTTTGTTTGTTTTTCGTTTTTTTTTTGTTTTTTTTTTTTTGCAATTTACATGTGTGGACCGCTGTCTGATGGTGAGTTTATGATGTTCACCCCTCCCCCTTAAAAAATAAGTTTCAGCTTTTCTAAGATTTAGCCGGTTTGTAAACCGAAAACCAATCATTTATAGAGCATCCTTGACCTGGGGGAGAGAATCGTGTCAAAAGATGTTTGAAAGGGAGGTGAGGGGGGAACTCAAAACACTAGTGCCCAGTGTTCGGGGGAACACAAATCCCTGTGACAGCGTGATATTTTGAACAGATCTCGCCCATAACTAAATTACTATGCTTCTCAAACTCATTAATAATTCATTAGAATAAAACAAAGAAAAATCACTAAGGGTAAAGAAGGTTAGTATGAGGTTAAAAAAAGCATTCTAGCATTAAAATTGGGCAACTTATGTTTGGAATTTATCCAAGAATTATTAATATCTAGCACTCGAAAGATTGTTTCATCCTCTATCCGAACACCTCGAAATTGGGTTTAAAAAAATCTCGGCTCGTCCTCGTTTTTTTCAATTCACTACTCGGTGTTTGGAAGTCGGGTGAAACACTTTCACGTTGAAATAACCATAGTTGATGGAGTGTAATGGTTGGGAAACTCCATAGAAAAGACACTATTGTTTGGAGGGCGATGTTTAAATGATATTGACCGTGGACAATGAACCAAAGCAACTATGGCTGAAAATACTGTTTTCCTTATTATTTTCATATATGAACATTTTCAAACTAAAAAGCTTCATTCGGTGGCGACAAATAAGAAAGTATGCAAAAGTCGATTTCCTTTTCAATAAACAACTAATTTTTATCATTAATAATATAAGAAATGATACAGACAGTAATTCGCGACGTTTCGAGGTCATGCTGACCTCATTATCAAGTGTGTTTAATGGAACTAAATCTTGACTATTTATAAACTAAAAAAAAAAAAAGTTTATAAATAGTCAAGATTTAGTTCCATTAAACACACTTGATAATGAGGTCAGCATGACCTCGAAACGTCGTGAATTACTGTCTGTATCGTTTCTTATATTATTAGTATAGGAAATCGCACGATCTCGAGTACAATTTGGAAATTAATAGAGACGAGTATAATGTTTTGAAAGTTCTTGTAATTGCACGAGCCTTTAGGCGAGTGCAATTAAAGAACTTTCAAAACATTACGAGTGTCTATTAATTCCAAATTGTACGAGAAGATCGTGCGATTTTTTGTTTATAGTTCACTCAACAAAATTTCAGTAAAGAATGCGAAGCGAAGCCGTTCATCTTTGTCTATTAGGCGGCCGATTTTCAGTCCATCGCGCAACTGAAATGCATAAAAAAGATTAGTTCTTACGGCTTTAAAATTTTATTTATATGTTTTTAAGTACAAAATGATAGAAAATAATTGTTTTGACATTGTTTTGGCCGTGTTGCTATAGCGACGTAATTCGGTATTCCTACGGAGTACAATTAACGCTATAATTGTACTCCTCTCGACCAATCAGAGTCGAGTAATTTTGTTGAGTGTACTATAAATCTCAAAATCCTTACTTATCAATTTTTATCATATAGGATTAATTAACAAATAATAACTATTTTAGAACGCTTTTATGCACGGTCAACGTCATATAGCAATGGATAAAGTCGAACAACAACCTAGAGCAATAGATTTCCTAACCTTTCCGATATATACCATGATTAACGTTTTCCCCATGTTGCTTAATTGGTAGATGTCTCCAGAAAGTCACCCTAGAGCAGGCCACGTTGATGATTGTTGTACCAATGCGAAGCCTGGTTCATCAATCTCAAAAGTCTGTTGATCGATTTACTGCCAATTGTCAGGGTCAGCAAAGGAATCCTTTCCAATCAATTGCATGGCAACGTCCAACCAATCGGGACACGCAAAAATGCTGCTGTCGTATGTTAATCCCTTTTCACCATTTGGAACCAGTATAGTTGGCCGCTGGATTAAAACTTTAACTCCAGCTTGAGTTAAGTATTATAGCAAATCTTGCTCTAGTATCATGTAATCAAGTACATAGAAATATATTGCAATTGGGATGAAATCGTTCCGGAAAGAAATTCATTCAAGTCAGTATCATGTAACCATCATACAAAATCGTCCTATCATCCTCTGACTTGGCAAATTTGCTAAATTTGAGGTGCTCTATTCAATGGTACTGATCGATTTTTGCTAATTTGCTCATAAATCCGTGGAAGGGTCTATTAGTCGAAATCTCACGTTAACCGGAAATACGTCACTGCGATTCGGTAGAACTGATCATTTCTTTTATACTGTTTGCCAGTCCCAAGTCATGCATTGCCATATCAACAGGTATTTATGTCCGCTGACCCTGTATTACACCTGCTGAAAACCTGCAGATCAATGAAAACACTACTATCCGACTAGAGGATTAAAGCAAGATTCTAATCTTGCCGGCGGCTTTTGATGAAAATATTTATTAATGCTCTCCATACCTAGCTTCTAATATTGAATATTTTTCAGTCATAAGACTGGGCTTATGGTAAGGTGTTGGTTAGCAAGGATGGCACAAAAACTTTTTTGTCATTTCTTGTTTTGTTGAGTGTAATTCAGTTTTGTTTAAAGGAAGTAGCCTGAGACCAGATCACTATTAGAATCTTTTTCGTTTGAAGAGAGAAGTGGTTTAGTTATCATAATGGTTTCGATTCAAGTCTTCTATATTTTTTCTGTCATGGTCATCATTTTATTGCTGTGTTCAACAGGTAAGTTAGCGATTTCTTTTTATTTCGTGTCGTATCAAATTATCATAAAACTGGTATTTTATATTACTGTACTATAGCAAGTTTTAATCTATAAAGTTAGATTTGTGTGGTTTAAATTTCTATAAATGTCTTAAATTTGTCGTTTAAAAAAATCCATAGGTTTTTTCGAAAAGGAAATTATAGAATACCGGCTGTGGACCAATACTGCTTGTTGTCAGTTATATATGATTATATAATTTCTAAAATTTCAAAAGTGCAAAATCCAGTAGATAAATTCTCCAATGCTTGCCCAAACGTTGGATCTTTTTAAAAAATTAAAAATCTTACATTTGAAGCTTTATTTTACTTAAGAAAATCTTTAACTTTATCAAAATATTAATAACAGTTTTACGCTCCTTACGTTTTGTTTGTTTGTCACATTTTAGTGTTACCTCAGAAGATTCTCTCCGATTGATTGATCATTAGTCTTTTGTGTCGCCGGTGTGTTTGTGTTTTAAATCGAAACTAATAAAGCAAATAATTGTTTTGGTAACCCGAGAATCCCTATGAAATAATACTATTTTACATCTGATTTGATCCTTTATTTCTAAAAGATCTTTAACCTTTCTGTCTGCTTGAATGTGTGTATGACAAATAAGACTCTGAAAATGCTTATCTGACGGTCCATATCATTCTCAGTATGACTTTTTGCTTAAACTGATGCTATATGCTATCTTTTTAATTTACAGATCTAACAAGCCAAACTAGAGTAAGAAGATCTTTAGATGACTTGGAAGATGGCATTGAAAACGTTATCATCGGAGATGTTACTCAACCGAACACATTTGATGAGGAAATGGGAAATTTTGAAGGAGAGAGTGGACAAGCTGAGCAAACAGGCGATGACATTGGTCTGAGTTTAGAAGGAAGTTCTGGATCTGCTGAGGACTCTGGATTTAGTGCTTCCTCGACATTAGTATTCGTAAAACCACATACAGTAGAAAAACGAAAAAATATAAACATAAGAGGAAACGACTATTCGATTACATCCGGCGATGAAGAGGTCGTTAAAGAAAGTTCTACTCCAGTGGCATCGTCAGGCTTTCTGCAAGAAAAAATCCAAACACGTCTAAAACTAAAACTGAAATCAGATAGAAATATAGTTGGGTCTGGATACCAGGAAAGTAACCGACCTAATAATGAAATAAATGGCAGTGGAGTTCAGGATATGCAACTTGTATCAAAGAATGCTGAGAAAAAGGCTCCAGCGATAAACGAAGGCGAAAACATCGGGTTTTCGGGAGTGATTAATGATAACTTTTCAAGTGGTGATCTGGGGGACAATATAAATAAAAATTCAAACCAGATGAAGCCAACCAAACAAGACGTTAACAAAAGTCTTAAAAATGCAACTAACAGTTCTCGAAGTTATGAAGAGCCAAAAATTCTATCAAGAGAAGAATTTATAAAGTACTTGACCGCTAAGATTATTGCGATAAGGAATGAATCGCTTAGAATAAAGCAAGGTTCAGAAGCAAAAGAAATGAAGGGAGGACCCTCGTTTGTTGTTAATGAAGGCCATAGTAAGGGTGCAAAAAGTAGTTTAAAGTCAGGTGGAAAATTCATTATGATAAATAGTAATGGAATTCTAGAAAATGCGAACATGGAAAATAAAGTTGAAAACATGAAATCACAAGGTGGTGTTGCTGAAAAAGAAAGTACGCAGAAAAATAGCATCAAAATCTTGAATGTCCACCAAGGGAACAGGAGTTACTCTTCGATGTCGCCCATCTATCACTCTGTAAGCAACAGCCATTTTGAATTGGAAAAAATTTCGCAAACACAACATCAAAATTATGTCAAACCAAAAGAGGTTGACTTGAACAAGAAGGCGAAAGCCAAGGAAGAAGCAAAATTAATGATTGAAAGGACAAAGAAAATATCATCTTCATCCCCAATACATCACCATGACAACGACGAGCACAATAATAAGCACATACCGTCTCAAGCAGAGGCTGTCAAACAATTAAAGGATGTAAAGCAGGAGGAAGATCTCCGAAAGGAAAAAGAAAAAAAGCTCATCGAAGAGTCTGTACATCAAAGCATAAACAGTTTCCAAAAGACGAATAGTAACCAACTTGAATTAAATCATGACCAAGGAGCAGGTTTGAAGCACACGAAAGATGTAAAACAAAAAGTAGGATTGCAAATAGAAAAGGAAAAGAAGCTAATTGAAGAGTCGATATTTAAAACCACTCAGAATCATCAGAAAACCAACAATTCTCAGCATGATGACTTGAAGCCGAAGGAAGCTACGTTCCGCACCAGATATTTTGGTAAAAAAATTGAAAAAGGTAATATAACTCAATTAATAGAAATTTCACTCTGATTTGCTGAAGGTTATAAGCACTTGCATTGCAAATTCATAAAACTGGTTAAAGTCAATAGTTCCTTTTCGCATTCGGTAAATACCGCTGCGTTGTAAGACTGAAGACTCACCTGCATAGGCTTAGTTTCGGGCTCGCTTTAAAACAAACTATTCACAAAAGTCAGCTGTAATGTAAAGAATGCGCAACTTAAACAATACCAATGCTTTGAAATCCCACGGACTTTTAATGATATATGTGAATAGCTGACATATCAATGAGGCTAAGCCTGTGCAAATGAGCCTGTGTTGTTTAAAAACAGCGGTATGCATTGAATACGAGACTGGTGTAAGTCAGGCCATAAAATACCAAACCCTTACTGCCATTCGATGATTGGCCAGTCACATATGGATGTTGCCTATTAGTCGTGAACTATTTTTGTTTCACCAGTTTCGAAATGTTCCATGGTCCTTTCAACCACCAAATGAGTCCATTGTGAATCTGAAAACAGAAGATTCGATGCGTCTCAGCAAGACAACATTGATAAGATAACGTTAGCATTTTACTTTACGTCGATCATTATATTTATGAGAGGCCGCCTTTCAATATTGCCTATAAGCTGCAGATTATGTTTTTTCTAATAGACAGATTATTTTTTTCAGTTGGAAAGTGTACGGCTTTTATGTTTTTAGTGGTTCGAAACACAAACGGCGGATGTTTTTGCGAAATGTTGATAAATTTGCATTAACTTCATAAAAGCATGATTTTGAAAAGCAGGTAATAATCATTTGCTTCTTAATGCACTGATATTTGCGATGATTATTTAGTTTTTCATGTGAACAAGTTAAAAACAAGACCTTGGGGACAGCGTAGACTGGGCTACCTGGCTGGGGACAGTTTACTGAGTCCAGCCAGTAAGAATCTAAAGGCGATGATCGTGAGTGAAAATAAGCGGCAATAAGTTTCAAAAGACAGTGAAAGAGCTACTAATGTATAGTGAAAGCCATTTTGGGCAAAAATTTTATGACACATTTTCAAAATAATCGAAAAAATCCATTTTCAAATTTTGCTACACTCCTCAAAACTTGCTTGGATAGAAAGAGTCGCTAAATCGGTTTAAAACGTCAATTAACACGGTGAAACAAGCTAATCTTCTCTGAGAATTGCTTGACTTTCCTTCATTAACCCATATTTTTAAATCGATGCTGAAATTCTCATTAACGAGTGAGCAAGAAATTGAATAATACAAGATCGATCTGAAGGTCATGCATGCGTTTCAGAAATCTATATTCATCATTTTATCACTCTTCATATTACTGAAAATGAATAATCGAATAAACTTATTTGAAACATGTTTATCTGCAGTAGTTTCTAGAGCCCAAATACCTTTAAGGAATAGATTATCATCAGAATCGGATCATCTTGCACAAAAAAAAAAATTAAAGTCGAAGCCATGGTTCAGGCTCGTAGTTTTTCTTTAAAACATCAATCGAATAGTTTATCTCTTAGTAGTGATCTTCGATAGACAGAAAATAATGCTTTGAATAGCTGAATATAAAAGCATGAATATATTGTTAATTTAGTGGCCATGGAATTTGAAAATACTTAGAAATCCTCGTTTAGAAATCCTTGCTAACTTCTCGCTAGAAAATCCTTGAGTCTTGAATAACAGCAGTCAAAGAAATAAAGGATGCGTAGACATTAATTTCTGCCACGTGATCTGCTGGCTCCGCCCTCTCATAATCACTAAACAACATGGTGACATTGATTGACGGCTGGTACATGCTAATTAATCGGACTGTAGACAGGAACCCTATAGCAGATGCCCACAAAGGTCTCCTGAAGACCCCTGAGTGCTGCGCAATGTTTTTATTTTGTCGCTCAGGAATCAGAAAAAACCCAGGTGTCCCAGTTAAAAGGACTGATGGCTTTATGTTAGCATCAGAAGCTTTACCAAAATAGTATAAACTTAAACATGATTGATCTTTTTGGGTGAAGCTAAATGATTGTATTCCTTTTTCACCTTTCTTTTTACTGTACTGTTTTTGAAATTATCGAAAAAGTCGCTCGAGAACCTTGGGAATCCAGAGCCTTAGAAATTATCCAGAACTTAATAAAATTATCCGTGTGAATGCAAGACAGCCAGCAAGTATAACAAACTAAAATAGATGCTGATTTTTACAGTGAAAACGAAGTACAAGGAAGATAAACTTTTGAAGAAACTAGATGCTTTGAAGTTTGGAAGCAAACCATCAACTGTCAAGAAGACGATGACGTTCAAGAATCTCAAACAGTGTGGCTTGTTCGTGGAGGAGTACAACGTATCTAGGGTAAGTGATTTTTTCTTTCATAGCAAGTTTTTTAAATTACATTCATTCAATGTTCGTTGTGAATCCAAGGTTCTTTCACTGGGTGCCGTTGCATCACTTTTTTGTGGGAAGCTTGGGTAGTGCAGGTTTGATTTCCAGGCTCGGTTTCGTAAGTAAGTAGGTTTGTTTGTTGGGTTCTCCGTGTTTTTCTCCGTCTACGAAAAAAAATCAGCTTCTAAATTCTAATTCGTTCTATCGATAGTCTTATTAAGTGGGTTGTGAATAATTCGTAAATTGATCCAATTAGAAAATTACATAAAATAACTAAGCCATCAAATGGTGCGGACCTTGAAGAACAAGGATAATAATACGAGTTAATTACGTAGTATTCTCTAAATAAGTCATTGGAAAATACCACTTGATAAACCTGTATTCCTAGGGTTCAAGACTCTTATGTTCCACTTGACGCCTCAGTTATAATTAAATTTAATAATAATAATAATATTCTTATTCTCTATATAGTGAATGCTAATGACTTTAATTTTGAGAATACTAATTAATGAGCCCGTATAGACCCCTTGCAGCACGTAGGAAAGCAGCCCCTTTTGGAGTACATAGCAATAGGTTTCCAAAGCTGTCAGGAAATTAAAATTCTTTTGTTTCGTCATCGAAATCATAGTTAATGGAAAATGCTAATTGGGACGACTTTTTTTTAATTATTTACTTCTACATCTCTTACTTTAAATTACAGATATTTACCTACCCCCTCCTCTTTCAAGTTCTCTAACTTACAATTATATTAATTATATATAATATTATTTGGCCGAACTTCTCCACATACTTTTGACTATTACAACTGCCTACGGTTACAATTTGTAGTAATATCTTAGAATTTAAAACTCTGATCGCAAAAAAATTGATCACAAATTGTTTCAATTATTGACTGTCCTGTGAAAACAAGAGGAAAATGCCTCATTATCCTTGTAGTACTCTCAAACATTGATACTGCGTAGTTGTTTGTGTCACAATATTTGTATTCCAATTGGCGGGAAACTGCTGCAATGGTTATTGGTATACGATCATCCTGTGCTTCAAGGGTATTTTTCCAATAGGACGTTTGCGTGATTATGGCGTCATTTGACTCTCACTATACCATAATGCTTCTCGAATTTTCTTTCTTATTTAAATTTGTATTCCCTCATGAGAATAGTAAGACAATTGGTGCTAATTAACTGAACAAAAGAAAGTGTGCAATGGAGTCTGGTAGTAGAGGTCAATGACGCCATCATGCAAACGTCCTATTCGATCTTTGAGTTTTCATTTAGTTTGGAACCTAGCTCTGTTCTGATTGTTCCACAGTAAACCATAACCAAAGCTTTATAGATAGGTCTTGCTAGATAGGTCGGTTAGAATTTGAACCAAATTTAGATGCAAGTTAATACATTTCGATTTCCGCAAAAAAAATTTTTTTTCTATTTTTAGACAAGCGCTTCATGGAATACGAGACTGTTCTCTCAATACTCGTACCTTTATGAGATACCTGAACATTTTTCTGAATGTTCCACCGTGGGTTGGTTTAATAACACAGACATGCGCGGTAGCGTATTTATAAGCTTTCAAGTGAAGAGTATTCTTGGCAATACGATGATGAATAACGCCCGCGTGTGTGCCAATTACTGCTGCCGTGAACCACGCTGTAAAGCATGGACTGTAAGAATACAGGAAGGAGAGACGCGAAACTGTGACAAAGGTAAGTATGGCAATAATCGTGTCAAAGTGGAATTTTTAACTTAAAAATCATTTTTAAAATTAAATCAATCATCACGAACAAGGCAATGTGTTATGTGCCAAAGCCGTATGCTGACACGGAGAAAACGGCCGAGTTCTTGATAATTTAGTATGTCATGCCAAAACCCAATTCAATTATCGTTTTATTATTTGTAAACTAAGCCGAGTCGAGATTTAGTTCTGCTTTCGAAAAAAATAGCAAACGTATTTCAATTAATCTCCGTTGTAACCTTGAGTAAACTTGACATGATAAATGTATTATGTTCAAAAAAGTCTACAGAGAATATATTTATCTTGTCAATCTCACACGATGTCATGGATTGGCTCCAGGTTATTTTCCAAGCAAAAGCAAAGATAAGTGAGCAAAATGTATAATGAAAAAAAAAATGGCACATTTTCAAAATAGTTAAAAGTATTGATGAAGAGGATTTTTTGATATCTACAGGGTCATATTGCTGTTGGTTAAAAAGTGCCGTGCCTGATATCCGTTCAGGGGTAGACAACTGCACATCCGGGATAATACGTCGTGTCAGCACCAAAGATCCACCAATAGGAATGCGCTCTGCTGTGCCGCTCGGCGGCCTGTCAACGGGCTCCTTTGAGTTGCGCGCAGATGGGACCTTCCACGAATGGACCATAGAAAACCAATCTCCAGGTGGATCTGCAAAGTTGAACAAAGGGTCGTTGGATATGGCAGTGCTTGGAGTACGCGTTGCAAAGGGGAATAAAAGTGAGGCAGCGTTGTTAAGGACTCATCCCCCACACGGGTTCCCTGGGGTAGAAGAGTTATCGTATTCAGGAGCCTATCCTGTCAGTAAATTGTCAACTGGTAAGAGAAATGATATTTTATTGCCTTTTTTAAAATAAAATAAGCCTTTCTTGTACGGCAGAACAATACTCCAGAACATGTTATAAAGATGGGAGTAAACTTGATCGCCGCGTAGCAAAAGTATACATTGATTACAATCAAAACGTCGATTTCTCTAGCATAGTGCTTTCTTTTCTATCTCGCCAGGTGGGAACGTACTAGCTAAAATGGTTGAAATGGACATATATGCGTATCCGGTATTTCACCTTCGAAACCCGTACAGTTCTGCTATTCCTGCAGTGGCATTCACTATTGGCTTGAAAAACAAAGAAAAGAGAGATCCTGTCACAGCGTCATTTTTGTTGAATCTTCCTCTTGGTTATCAAGATGACACGATACGAATGGGTGATAACTATGGTGAAGTGGTTTTTACTAGGTAATGAGAAAAGAATAGAGCAGTTTTCGAATGGCTGTAAAAAAGTCGGAGCCTTATTCGTGCCTTGCCGTGACAGTGATATGAATTTTGATGAGTGGATATTTTCCCGCACAATGCGATTGGTCTGACAGTTCCGTGACCTTGGCGTGACAGTGTCTGCGCCGTGTTTATGCCGTGTTTATGCCGTGTTTATGCCGTGTTTATGCCGCGTTTATGCCGTGTTTATGCCGTGTTTATGCCGTGTTTATGCCGTGT